TCCAACGTTACTGGCATGACAAGGAGATCCCACCTGAGATGTTTTCTACACGGCACAGTGGTGGGGGCGCCATCATGATTTGGGGTGCGTTTTCCTTCAATGGAACAATGGAGCTTCAGGTTGTGCAGGGGCGTCAAACAGCAGCTGGCTATGTGGAGATGTTGCAGCGGGCATCCCTCATGACTGAGGGCCCTCGTCTGTGTGGTAATGATTGGGTTTTTCAACAGGACAATGCTGCAGTTCACAATGCCCGCCTGACAAAGGAGTTCTTCCAAGAGAATAACATCACTCTTTTGGACCATCCTGCATGTTCCCCGGATCTAAACCCAATTGAGAACATTTGGGGATGGATGGCAAGGGAAGTTTACAAAAATGGACATCAGTTCCAGACAGTGGATGCCCTTCGTGAAGCCATCTTCAACACTTGGAGCAACGTTCCCACTAGCCTCCTGGAAACACTGGCATCAAGCATGCCTAAACGATTGTCTGAAGTCATCAACAAGAATGGTGGAGCTACTCATTACTGAGTCCTTTTTTTTTTGACACTTTGATTACTCTTTTGGGGGGTTTTCGGGGTTTTTTTGAGCTATGGTCTTAAACTTTTGATCAGTTGAAAAAATGATGTTTGAGTGTAAATGCAGTTTTCAATTAATTCCCCGCTCAAAAGTTTTTGTCTCTTACGTTGATTTCTCCTTTAACATTGTGAAGCTCTACTTAGAACCTTCTTAAGATCCAATAGTGCAAAATGCAAATTCTTGCAATTTTTTGTGTGTGTGTATATATATATATATATATATATATATATATATATATACACTTCAGTTAATATTTGATAATTTAACAAAGTCAAAATGGAGAAACTGATTGTGCAAAGGTGAATATTGATACAACGCAAAAAAGACGAGGTTCTGATTGTGAGGAGGGGGAGTGTTGCTGATGGTTCAAAAATACTTTATCCCAAAGGGAAGGTGAATGTTGTCATTACTCATATCATCCAAATATCTTCAAAGCGTCGTTGTGGATGGTGATGCTGTGAGCTGGAAGGATCTCCTGTAGTAGGCAGTCTTGCAACGAATCTGAGGAAGCCTTTGACTGAAAACGTTAGCTGGGTTTCCATCGAATTGGAATCATGAGAACAAATTTGCTTAATGGAATTTAGATCAGGTTTTTGCACTACGATTAATTTGTTTTTCAGCCTTATGGAAATATATGTAATTCACAAAACTGCAATGGAAACACCAAAATCTCAGACCAAAAGCACCGTGGTGGAAGGAAAACAACCAGACTCACCTCCGCTTTGTGAACACACGTGTAGAAGGTGTTGATCTCATTAGAGCAAAGGCTGTCCACAAAGTTGTTCTGCTTCCAACAGGCCATCAGTAGGGACATCTCAGTGACGCAGGAAGCCTCTGGAGACAGAAAGGTTGACCTTTAACCCCGACCGGACAACAGAGGAACAGCCGCTCACAGCTCGATTCTTACCTCCTTTCCTGGGTTTCCTGTTGCCCACAGAGTCCTTCAGGATCAGCGGTCTGTTGGGCTTCAGCACCGGTTTCCCGTTCTCCCTGCTGAGCAGCCTGCTGACCTTCTCCTGGAACAGAACTCCTCCCTGAGCCGCCATTTCTCTCCAGCGAGCGGACCGGGTCAGAACCGGTGGACGGACGGAGAGGAGCTCCTGTTCTGGGCTCGGGTATTAAACTTAGAGACTAAAAACAGCCGACAAATTATGTTTCATCTGCTGTGAACACCGGACCAGCACCAGGTAGCCAGGAACGCTGCGTGATCCGTAAAGCGAACCTCAGTGTCGTAACAGCTTCTTCTTCGTCTGGAGACGTATGGCTTTCTGTGGAAGAGCGCCCTCTTCAGCGTGATATGTCAGGCATTAGCCAAACGTTAGAGCCAAAAGTCTGGTAAAGTATTATTACTTTAAAGTAAATTAGATTTTAAATATACATTTATATTTTAAAAAATACATAAATAAATGTAAATTGTGACTAAAAACAAAAATCTGTCTCAGCATTATGCATATCCAAGTGCAACCTGAGTGCAAAACCTGAGCAAAACTTGCACTCAGGTTTTGCAAGAAAAACTGAGTGCATGAACAGAATGCATCATCA